CAAAATGGATGTTGTAGGGTGTGGCTATTCATGAAGTGGTTACTGTTGAGATGTGAATGGCCACAAAGACCATGGGGCTTGCCACACAAAACTCAATTGGTTTGGAGTCCCAAATACCAAATAAGAAAATTGAGCACCCCCACCCCCCAATATTCACATATTGTGCAATAAAATAGTAGTTTCAGAGAAAGGAACTGGTGAGGTTTAATAATTTATCTCTCTATGCCATGAATATAAACCAAAAGGACGTTCTCAGTCATAAAGCAAAACCCTTTGAACTTAATTCTACAGGATGCCTATTTCATAGAAAGCAAGGTAGTTAATTTCTTCAAATCAATTCCAAATAAATTTCTTTAAAATTAATTTCTCTGAATTAATAGGAGGATTAATCCAAGTTCAACCCCCAGTTAATTCTAGTAGACCTCTCAGCCATGCCAACCACCATCCCCTCTTTTCTTTCTGTAAGTCACCTCATTTTCCAGTCTCCTCCCTTCTTTTCAGCCAGCCAGCTAGCCCACCCAAGGTCAGGGTGACCAGATGTCCTCCTTTCCCAGGACATGTCCTACATTTCAGCCTTCTGTCCAGGAGAAATTCCAAAATGTCCTCCATTTTAAGCATGACTAAGAAGCATGAATTTATATTTCAGTTAGTGCCGTTAGTTTTTATCTGGTCATATCCTACATTGTCCTTGAATGTCCTACATTTTGTGGTACCTTGTCTTCCTTTGCAGTTAGGACATTTGGTCACCCTGGGTAACAGGGTTAACTCAAGACATTCTGCTTCTCTCCTGTGTCACCATGCATATACAGACATCTTAAACACATTCTCTTTCTCCAACGTTCACCCACAAACTCTGTCATCCACATATATCTTACCTGGTACACCGCTGTTAACAAATGGGTTTATTTCTGTAGCACTTTTGTAACATATGTCTCTTAGCTCCCAGGATGGGGAAATATAAAGTGCATCTTTTTACGTTGAGTTCTAGGGTTTGTTTTATTCTCAACTCTTTGTTTTTAGGAAAATACATATAATTTTATTTTATATTTAAAATTCTTGTTGCTTGAATTGTTAGGGACCTTGAGTAGATGATATTTGAGCATATGATATGGTGGGCTGTTCTGTTCTGTACTGTTCTCAGTATATACTGTAAAGGTAAAGGTAAAGGTATTTCCCATTGACAAGGTTGTCAAGTTATGTCCGACCGTAGGGAATGGTGCTCATCTCTGTTACTAAGCCAAAGAGCCAGCGTTGTCTGAGGACTACTCTGTGATCATGGGGCCAGCATCATTGCACAGAATGCTGTTTACTTTCCCACCGAAGGGGTACCTGTTTATCTACTTGCATTTGCATGCTTTCAGACTGCTAGGTTGGCTGAAGCTGGAACTAGTGATGGCAGCTCACCCCATCATGCAGTATCATATACTGTATACTTTTTCTCTTAGTGGCAAATGAAAGCTCAGAAAAGAGCAGTTCAATATATGCATGCCTATGTGTATGCTAGAATAAATATATAGCCTTTTTGAGGGATTGCAAAGTTTTCATTTGATTAAACAGTTGGAAATGTCATTCTAAATATTTCAGCGAAAAAGAAGCCATTCCATTATCCATGCAGTTTTTTTTTTCTATGTGGAAACCATGTTCTGGATAGCTGGTATATTTCTAAAGTGAATGAGTGACTGATTCATCTTTCGTGACCAAATTAGGAGTCTGGATTGCTCCCTGTTTTCCTGCCTCCATTGTCTGCTTTCTCTAGAAGTTGCTTGTTCATTGTATTGTATGTATGTCATTTGAATTATTATTTTAATATTGCTCTAGTTTAAT